AAGATGCTGATGTAGAAGAAGCTCCTCGCCTGCAGACTGTATGTGAGTGCGTGCGTGAGCGCCATCAGCCTCATGTATTATTGATGCATCAACATGGGAGGATGCTCCGTGTCCTTAAGGATCTCAACATGCGGCCTTTTGTTTGCAGCTCTGTAAGGTAACACCTCAGCGTCAACCTGACGTGACGGCCGAGTGTGAAATGAAGATCGAGTGGAAACTGGAGGTGTGAAGTGAGTGAGTGAGTGTAGGTGATGTGTTTCTGTCAGAATGAAGGTTTCTATAGTTTTAAAGGCATCCTGCAGTGAAAGCTTTAAATCTTCATTAAACCCAGTTTGAGCAGCTCACTGTCTCACTGCACCCTCAGAGCAGCCCTGAGTCAGCGCCCGGCGTGGACACGGCGAGGCCGGATCGTTGAGCGCCGTCTGCATTTAAAAGGAGAGAGCTCCCGATGTTTCTCTCCGAGCAGGAGACACACACACACACACACACACACACACACACACACACACACACACACACACACACACACACACACACACACACACAGACGGAGGGGAGGGAGCGCTCGTCAGTCTGACTTTTATTACGCTCGCCATCGTGAGAGCACGAGAGGAGAAGAAGACGATACATGACTTTATCTACACACACTCGTCCGCTGCTCTTCCCTCTGTAGGTTTATTTTTTCTGTTCCTGCTCTTTTGATATTTTCTCCGAGCTGCTCGTTAAAGACGGTTCAGCGACTTGACTCATATTTTGATCTGTGTCACTCGACATCACGTCATCAGATCAGGTGATCCGCATCAGGACGATGGCGGTCGTGTTAAACTACGAGAGCGGGACATCCTCGACAGCAAGCAGCTGCAGAAAATATCTAAACAATGACATAACGAGCTTCAGTTTCAGAACGAGGCGTCGCTCATCAGTCGCTTTGTTACGTCTGCGGACTTCTCTCGCTCTTTTTCTGACCCGTGTGCTCTCGAGCTCGCGATGGCCATGAAATATTTTATGGATAAAAAAAGAGGTCGCTACCCGCTGACTATCCTCTGCTGATTTTTGACGATAAAACGTTCATATCTTTCTTTTTACACGTCTTTAATCACTGAACTTTAACGTCAGTGAGTTCTTCTTCTGTGCTGATATTTAAATATATAAAACCACCTCAGCCAATCAGGATCGAGCAGCCGCTGTGAGTGACGGCGATAAAGCTCCTCTTAAAGTAGAGAAACAGACCACCAGGCGATATAACTCACCCTACTTAAGTTCACACTAAGGCTTAAAGGGATGTAGAGTCAGGGGGCGTGGCCTCTTTGAGTGACAAGTGGGAGCTGCTAGCTGTCAGCTAATTCAGTCCCTGACCTTTGACCTCTGGGTCGTATTTGTGCTGTACCTGTAAATATCAGACTAATAATCTGTCTCTCTCTGTGAGACCAACAAGTCTGACCTCCACTTTCTACACCTACACATGTTAGCAACAATTAGCAGCTAGCTGAGTTTGAGAGAAGCACACCTGGACTGTTAGCTGCGCTGTTTGTCATGCAGTGATTTTTATGTGTTGGCTTGTGAATGGAGTCAGCATTGTTGTTGTTGTTGTTGTTGTTTTTTCCGTGCAGAGAAGACGGCGTGCTGCAGTGATGAGATGGATCAGATACATTCTGACCACAGCAGCCCGTCTGAGCCCTTTCAAACGTGTTTGTGTTCAGGTTGGTCCGTGGTGTTCTGTCTTTGAATAAACACACTGCTGCTGTAGCAGCTTCTCAGTTAGCTCCTCCCCCCCCCGCTTGTAGTGAAATGGCATGTGAGGAATGCTCTCGGCTAGTCATCAGGTCGGCCATCACGCTCCTCCTTGGTTTGTGGTAACTACGAGAGAAAACCCTGCGTCTGTTGTAAAAAAGAAAAAAAGGATGTTTGTATAGTGAATGTAGGATTAACACCCCCCCCCCCCCCCTTTCCTCTGGCATGTGTGATGAGCGTTCTGTTTGTGAGCCCTGAGGTCGTCTGACTGAGTGTGAGTGAATTTCTTCTACGGGTCAGACGGGCTCAGATGTACTGTGGCCATCTCACAGTGGTCACTCTGTGCCGATTAAATGGCCTCATTGTGTCGAGGATGTCTTCAGCGATGACGCACAACAAGTCTGAAGAAGGAAAAAAAAAACACATCTGGAATTCATGAATCTCCGACTTTCGAGTCTTCTATAAATAAAAACAGTGTTGATGTCGTTTAAAGTCACAAAAACTTTCATCGACTAGAAGATAGCGCTCCATCCTGTGGTCTGTTATCAGCTGCTGACAATATGTAGTTAAAGATTTATACTAAAGTAAAGCTGGCTGGTTCCTTCAAAATAAAAGACAGACCCCCCCCCCCTTAAAATGCTGTCTAATCATAACGTACCATACATGTGTGGTGGTGACTGTGTGTGCAGAGACTCTGTCCTCTCACTGGATTTTACTGTTCTGATTTGTTCTGGTTGACTCGGGAAGTTTGTGGGCGGAGCTGGTGTGTTTCCTCCAGCCAATGACAGCGCAGCAGGTGAGTTTAGGAGTGGATACAATTCAGTGATTGGACGAGATTCAAAGCGGTGAATATGACGGACGTGGACGTAGCAGCAAAGAAGAGAAAATATAATGAGAGTGAGGAGAAACACCAAGTGGATAAAGATCGTTCTAAAACGAGGGTGAACCTTGTGTTGGACGTGGAGTTGATCTACTTCCTGTTGGACAGGAAGGTGATGAACACCGGCGGTTAGCTTGCAGTGTAGCTACAAGCAGTAAATGTACACACCGCCTTGGAGCGATGACTCAAATATGTTTTTATTTGCAACAACCATGTTTATGATAGTAAATGATGCTGATTATTAAATATGCAGATGTTAAAAATTCCTGCCCTAATTAAATAGATTTGAAGGGTCGCTACACGTCTCATCAAACGTGTCTCACATCGTGATTTAGTGCGTCATTCAGAGAAAATCCCAAAGAAAACAGGAGATACTGTAACTAACTTCATGATCCGTAGTGGACTTCTTTAAAGTTATGACCTTTCCCCTATTCCTTCTCTCCCGTCTCCTTGGACGCCCCATGCTACACGTCTCTCTCTCTCTCAGACACACTAAGGAGCCCTTATCCAGCAGCCCAATAATGCTGGCAGTGTGAGGCCGGGAATTAAATGCTTCCTGTGTCTCTTTATGGCCGCAGTTGACTCATTGCATTCCTCCCAAGGTTAATGTTTGATGGAGGGAGAGATGGGCGAGCCAGAGATTCACAGAGCCGCACTCTTCCCTGTCTCTGGCACCGCAGGACGCCACGGGTCCATGAGGCCAGCGCTTCATTTGGATAAGGAAGTGAATAAATCAATCAGCACAGATACCCAGTGGAAAATGAGTCAGAGGCAAAGGGAAGAAAAATTAAGCTAAAATGAAAGTGTCAAAAACTGCAGTTCCTCCAGTGTCCACTAGAGTCTGTCTCCTGCAGTGAGTCAGTCTCCATAGAGCTCTATGTTAAAATGTCCATCTTGACAGCAGAAATGTTTTTCCTCAGGTTTGTTCTGGCTCCACCTTCTCTCCTGGTATTTTCTGTATCTCACCGTCTCTTCGTCCTTTCTGTCTTGTTTGGGGTTCCTGTTTCAGAGCTCAGTGACGCAGGCTCAAAGATGTGGAGAATCAGATGCATACTGAACGTTGCTAACATTGTTATCAATCCTGAATGCATTAGTATGGATCCCGCTGAGTGTGCAAAAAGGAATCTGAGACGTAATAGAGAGAGTGATGTGAGTGCATTTGACTGCAGACTGCTAGCATACGACTTTTAGAAACTAAACTGTGTGTTGTCAAACTGAGAGCCAGCGCTGTGAGTCCTGACTTCACTGGACTGGGCAGCCCAGTATCTGGCAGCCAGGTTGTTCTGGGTTGCTCTGCAGCGAGCTGTGGATGCTCAGAGATGCTGATATTAGTACGAGGCAGATTGAAGCGGTGTCATGACTCATTGTTGCAGGCAGCAGCAGCAGCGCTACATGCTCTCCGTGTGAAACTGTGATCCGGCCCACACAAACTCACACCGTCCTCTGCAAGTGGAGAGAAACGCAGCGAGTCGATATTCAGTCCCTGTGAGATGTTCAACGGATTGAATCATTCTCAAGAGACAAGCTGGAGTTAGATTTTTTAAAGTTTGACCAGGGCGGTGTGGTGCTTTTCCCCGTCTTTGTTTGGATTCGAGCGCCTCGTTTACTCTCTCAGAAACGCGTTTTAATCCGATCATCGTGCTACACTTTGCTCACTACAGACTTTAATTTAATACTCGAGCTCATTGTCTCACTCAAACAACAACGAGAGAGTGAGGTCTTAATAAAGTCCTGAACAACAGCGTGCTTATCCCTCCGTCTGAAAACAACACGGTCTTTAGAGACTTAGCAGCACTTACATTTGTTTAACCCCTTAAGTCGTGTGTGTGTGTGTGTGTGTGTGTGTGTGTGTGTGTGTGTGTGTGTGTGTGTGTGTGTGTGTGTGTGTGTGTGTGTGTGTGTGTGTGTGTGTGTGTGTGTGTGTGTGTGTGTGTGTGTGTGTGTGTGTGTGTGTGTGTGTGTGTGTGTGTGTGTGTGTGTGTGTGTGTGTGTGTCTTGCTGACTCAGTCTGACTGCGTCAACAGCTGCTGCATGTTACAGGAGAGAGTACAGTGGTGTGCAGAGGGTGGGGGGGGTTCAGAGGAGGGGGGGGCGGTGTGTGGGAGAGTGAGTAGGTTAGATTAAAATAGAATCGTACAGTTTGGCTTTGTTTTATTTATTTCCCATCAGGCCGTGCGTATTGATCTGACATCGTCCTATTTCAGTCCTGACAGGAGCGTCGGCTCTCAGATGTGAATCTCTCTTTGAACAGAAGTCTTTTTTGCTCCAAATAAAAAAAAAAAAAGCCCCAAAACACCGGAAAGCTGCCTCTATTTATACGACTAAACCGACAGTAAACCTCTTACTGATTTAAAATGTGACCTGACAGCCCTACTTTCTGTGTTGTCAGGCCCAGATCGCCTTCCTGCAGGGGGAGAGGAAAGGCCAGGAGAACCTGAAGAAGGACCTCGTGAGGAGGATCAAAATGTTGGAGTACGCGCTGAAGCAAGAGAGGTGAGTGTTCCAGCGGCGCCCGCTGCAGCTTCAGCCCCGCCCACAACACACACACACACACACAAACATGGGACATGAGAACATGGCAGCGTGAGATTTGCATCTGTCAACACCTGCAAAAGTAAAACAGCGGTTGAAAAGAGTTTAGGACTATCCACTTGTTTAATAATAATAACTTTATTTCTATAGCACTTTTTAAAAACACAGGTTTACAAAGTGCTTTGACAAACAGCAAAAACAAGAACAAACTAAACCAAACACAGAAGAACATAAACAACAGCAAGAACATAACAAATACTAAAAATAATTAAATACAATTCAACAGAAAAGAACCCAAAGTGCACGATACCCAACAGACATATAGAACCCAACCATCACAAGAACCATCACAAGAACCATCACAAGAACCATCACAAGAACCATCACAAGAACCATCATAAGAACCCAGGAAACACAAGAACCCAACAACACGAGCTGAGACCAAGAGGACCAAAGATTTAAAAAGATGTCAGAAACTAAAAGAGCTCAAAGCAAATCAAAAGATAACAGCAATAAGAAGGTAAGAGCAGGAAAAGAAATAGAAACAAGTGAATAAATTATCAAAAAAAAACAATAATATTAATAATAATAATAAAAAGTATATATACATATAAAACATAAATAGACTAAGTAAGATTAAAAAAATGACCTAGTTAAAACACAAGAGGAGTTAAGATAAGAGCATAAATAAAAGGACAGTAAGAAGTAAAAGAAGATAAAAATAGTAAAACCAGAAAGAAGACGACATCACATAAAAGCAAGTCTTTAAAAGTACGTTTTATGAAGGGAAACAGTTTATATTCTGTTTGCACCAGTCGGACGTCTCTGCTGCTGTCAGCAGAAGCAGCAGCAGAGCGAGAGTGCCAAAGAGGTTCCCTCGAGCTGCTGGGATGTCTCTGGACGGGAGCCTGTGTCTGCTGAGGACGACGCAGAGTCCTCAGCAGAAGGACGAGACGACCAAAGGGGGGAAAGAGGAATGGTTTCTTCCACCCGTCTCTGCTTTCTTTTAGTCGTCCTTTTCTTCAGCAAACCAGAAGAATGACATAGTTCTCGTTCCCCGTCAGAGTCAGACAAAAGGTCCCTGTGGCTGTGTCGCCGTCACACTTTGCATTTCCTGTCCTCCATTTAACGCATGGCTGCTCCCCTGGAACATATATTTGCAATTTCAGCACCTTCTCTATTAATGCAGGTATTGAGCATGTCAGGAAAGCCGATGTGGAGCGGTAACCTTCTGCAGAAACAGAATAAGAAGTCATTTAAACCTAGTTTATTTTCTTTATTTATAAGATGCATCTGAATTTGTAGATAGAATCATGAAGGCACCAACCCTGACATACCAAGCGTTTTAAAACGATTAAATCTCAGTCACCGTAAAAACATGCAGCCAAACTCCTGCATGCTGTCTTGATTGCACAAATTCATCGCTAACACTGAAGCCTTGCAGTGAATTTTAGACAGTGTGCAGGAGTTAAACTGCACTGAAAAATAAGATATGACCGAATATTAGGTGCCTAGGACTTCTCTTTGTCTTGCCTTGGTATTGAAATCATCAGATTTTTTTCTAGAACCTTATGGAAGTTTAAAGGAGATCTATTATCCTCACTGTCACCATTAGTGATGTCACTATGGGACGGCTGTTGAGCAGCGTTATGAGATTTGTAGCTCAAAATTCTCTTTATTTATCTGATTCTGACTTCAGTAAAATCCCTCATTTCAGCCTCTACCTGAAACGCTTCATTTCAGCTACTGTCTCTTTAAGGCGTTTAATATGACCGACCTCTCCTCGAGGATCAGGTTGGAGCAGCCGTCCGTTAAAGAGAAATAAAAGACCTTTTAGACGCGCCCGATGGACCAATCAGGAATGAGTAATAAAACATCTTAGAGTGCCGTCTCTCGTCCATTCAGCTCGCAGGTCGCACACGGGCGATCATCTTTGGGTTTGTTTGGCCCTGAATCATCCTCCGGCTCGCTGTGCTCTATATTTATCCGCTCTCTCCTCCGCTGAGATCACCCCGCAGTCTGCCTCAGGTGCAACACTTAACCCAGTGATAAATACCACTTTCACCTGGTTGCTAAGCAACAGGTCACATCTCTGTGGAGCTCTAAAAGCAATATCAGACGGAAATGGCTCTCCCAGAACGTAGGATGTACCCAATTTAAAATGAATTTGATTCAAAGGAGGGGGGGGGGTTTCTTCCTGAGGGAGGGAGGGAGGGAGAGAGAGGGAGAGAGAGAGAGAGAGAGGGGGGGAGGGGGAGAGAGGGAGGGGGAGAGAGGGAGAGAGAGAGACAAGGTGTGTAATGACTTTTTTACAGCTGATACAGACGCGTGTGAAGACACTTCATCTTAGTTTGATCGCTGAATGAAGGCGCTAAGGTTCAGAAAACGTTCAAAACTTTTCAACGAGTTTTATAAGAATAAAATCTCAGTTATTGAATAATAATTAATAAAAAGCTTTAAATACATAGGCAACACCTGTTTGTTTGACCTGATAACTGCTCTCATATGTGGCAAACCGAGGGGCGTCCAAAACGACCGCTTGGTGGGGTCGCCTTAAAAGCGCCTACCTTCTGTGGTCCAAACAAATCCAGAGCATTCAGGAGCAGAATCTAAAGTTAGAAGGAGGACATACTGGCTGCTGCATTGTTGTCAGAGAAGCCAGCACTTCAACATAGCATGTTTCCTTAATGATCAGATAGTAAGATACCTTTATCATCTCACTCTCTACACAGCTCACTGACTGGACCTTTAAATGTCTCTGACCTCTGACCTCTTCCCTGTTTGCTGATTTGTCTCCTTCTGTCTTTTCTTCTTCTTCAGAGCGAAGTACCACAAGTTAAAATATGGGACCGAGTTGAACCAAGGGGACGTGAAGCCTCCGAGCTACGACTCTGGTAAGTGTTTGGTTTTCTCTAACAGTCGACTCCTCCCCCTCGCACTAAATCACCGTGATTGTGGAGTTCACATACCGCGGGTGACAGGAGCGCTCTGCGTGTGGAGGCTTGTTCAGAGTCGTCTCCTGAATATCGAGCTGCTTTAGGAGTCGATGAGAAACCGTCAGGTCTGATAGTAACGACGGAGAGCTGAACACAGAGGTCCAGCCGACCTCTGGAGAGGTTTAGTCACACATTCTTTTAGATAGTGACGGCTTTATTTACCCACACGGCAACGGGATCTTCTTTTGATTCTGCTGCATCCACCCAACTCTAATAGAGCTGATTGAATTAAAAAGATGAGACTGAAAACTTTTCATATTACTGTACACAGAGGAGCTGCTACACGCTCTAAGAAAGGACACTTTCACTACTACAATACTTTGACCTGTTTTTAAGAAATAGTTCAGCCTGTCCTTATTATACATGACACTAAACTGAATTACCAAGTCTCCATGGTTACTAAACGACGACACAACTTAAAGGCAGGGTTTGGTGATTTTTACTCCAGATAGACTTTGGTTGTCTTTAGGTCTGGACAGAAATGAATAAAGATTAATAAATATATATATATAATATAATATTAACTTCTCTGCTCTGTGGTTTTTCAGTTTCCCCGTCTAAACATTAAAACATGTGGTGCTTTTATTTTGAAGGTGTACAAACCGAAGTGTGGTGCTTTTATTTTGAAGGCGGACAAACTGAAGTGTGGTGCTTTTACTTTGAAGGTGGACAAACTGAAGTGTGGTGCTTTTATTTTGAAGGTGGACAAACTGAAGTGTGGTGCTTTTATTTTGAAGGTGGACAAACTGAAGTGTGGTGCTTTTATTTTGAAGGTGGACAAACTGAAGTGTGGTGCTTTTATTTTGAAGGTGGACAAACTGAAGTGTGGTGCTTTTATTTTGAAGGTGGACAAACTGAAGTGTGGTGCTTTTATTTTGAAGGTGGACAAACTGAAGTGTGGTGCTTTTATTTTGAAGGTGGACAAACTGAAGTGTGGTGCTTTGTTTTGACGAGCTGTTGACTCTAAATCAACACTCAGAGGCTCATCAGTAAACGGCTCGCGGTGAGAAGAATAAAGTTTTCTCCGGTGTTGACAAAGGTCAAAGGTCAACACTTCAGTCACGGATGTGGATTTGATTAATTCCTCAATTATCGTCAATAACTACGCGAGCGTGCGATGAGAATGAAAACTGGAACAGCATCAGGGTGAAAACGTGGCGTCGGGGAAATATCAGGGCGACGGGGCATGTTCAAGTTTTGTGCCATCATTAAGTCAGATTGCGACACTTCGTCTCCTCTCTCCTCATTTCTATTCATGAGAGATGTTTCAAAGCACCCGAGCCTTGAAGTGTTGATGAAGGGGGGGAGGAGGTGTGAGATGGAGAGGGAGAGGGAGAGAGGGAGAGGGAGATGGAGAGGGAGAGGGAGAGAGGGAGAGGGAGAGGGAGAGAGGGAGAGATCGTATGGTGGCGCACCTGCCCGCTCCTCACCCTCCTGAATTAGGCATGACCCACTTTTTGAGCCACCCTCGACTGTCTGCCCCGCCAAATGAAATACACACACACATACACACACACACACACACACACACACATACACATACACACAAACTCTTTGTAAATTCCCCGCCGACTTGCGAGCAGAACGCTGACGATGTTAAATATCAAAGCTCACTTT